CCTAGCACTCGGAAGGCAGAGGCAGGCGGATCTCTGTGAGTTCGAGACCAGCCTGGTCTACAGAGCTAGTCCCAGGACAGGCTCCAAAGCCACAGAGAAACCCTGTCTCGAAAAACCAAAAAAAAAAAAAATAAAAAATAAAAAAAGTGTCTGTCTCTGTCATGGAATAATAGTGGGGAACACCAGAATTTTATGACTAAACTGTTAAAGAAGTATGCATTTACAATGTTGTCACCATCATGCTTTCTATTATACACATGAATGAAATATTTTAGAGGGCAGTGACCTATGATGATGTGCATATCAACTTTACTCGGGAAGAGTGGAATTTGCTGGATGCTTCCCAGAAGAATCTCTACAAAGATGTGATGCTGGAGACGTACAGGAACCTCGCTACTATAGGTGAAATTAAATTTCCTTCATGATTCAAAATAAGGGGACAACTTTTTCTTGGTTAATTGTTCTTCTGTAATTTTATTTAGAAAGAATAAGAATTAGTTGAATAGAACAGACATAGTTCTAAGGGTCCCTTCATATAACAGCTTAAATACTGCACAATTTTCAATAATATACATTTACTGGCATTATATTTTAGGATGCATTTGGGAAGACCATAATAGTGAAGAGCATTGTCAATTTTCTAGAAGACCTGAAAGGTAATTTTCATATACAAGCTGATAACAATGTGCCTCTGATGAATTTTTTGTGTGTCCTAAAAGTTTTAGTTTAAAGCAATACTGATAATATGTACAGTTTTATCCAATTCTCACAAATCCCTATTTCATATATGTGAGTTGCATTTGAATGACATTCTTTTAAGGAAAGAAGTCAAGAAAATAGCTAAAAAGATACCATCTTTTGAGGCATAGCACCATGAGAGCTTTGTTGTAGATCTGCAAATAAATTTCTTTCTTGCTACTCATAATACAAAAGTATACATATTGAAGAGATTATAAGTATATCTGCAAAACTTTGTACTAAACCAATGGCCCATAGTAAATCTTGTATTCCTCGTAACTTCTTGTGACTGTACTAACTTTAGTGAGAGAAGCAGTTAGAGTTGAATCAAGTGGCAGTTGTTTTGGAGAAACCTTGATATCTATACCACAAGACTGTGGGGAACAGCAAGTCAAACTCTGAGAATTCAATGTGGAAATCTCTTATTTGTTATTCTTCTTTACTATGTATACCATACATTGCTCTTGATACAAGTGTATTAGCATAGGGATACGGAGAGATGTAGGATACCACTCCCTAGAACAATTAGATAACCAGTAGTCCCCATATTGAGTATACTTGTTGAATTTGATTGAAGTATACAAGTAACTGGTTTTCCACCCTCATTGTTAATACATGAACAAATTCACACTGCAAAAAAGCCCTATAAGTTCTAGAAATGTGCAAATAATTCTGAGTGTTCTAGTTCACATAGCATATGCAATATGATTCCCAGTATAGGAGAAGTTATGAATATAAAAGCTCTGGGTTTATCCAGTTCTCTTCACATATATATAAAATGTCATATAGAAAAAAGATTCTGTGAAGGTAAAAGGTAAGCCATAAAAGAAAGGAATTGACCATTGGAGGTGTCTTCCAAGTGGCAATACAGTGCCTAATTAAAGAGCAAAACATGAGTTTAGACACAGTTATAAAAACTTAGTATCTGATTCCTCTTTATAATTGGAACATATTATAAAATTAATTCATACAAATGTGTAGCCACAACAGTGTATTGAATACGGTAAAGCTTTTATATGTGCCAATTATCCTTGCAGGATTGAAAGAATTCAAGCTGGAGAAGAACTTTCAGTAGATATTCAATGTTCTGAAGCCTTCACACGTGCCAGTCACCTTAAATGGAATGAAAGAACACACACTGGAGAGAAAGCCTATGAATGTAATCAGTGTGGTAAGGCCTTTGCAGTTCAGAGTTATGTTCAAATCCATAAAAGAATACATACTGGAGAGAAACCCTATCAATGTAATCAGT